TCTTTTGCCGAAGCTCAGACTCTGGCACAGGATCGGGAATGTTGGAAGCACTGTCTGACGCGTCTGCCTCGGCGACCCGAAAGGAGAAGCGGCGATGGAAGATGAAGATATTAGACTTCAACTTTGAGACGGTAAACGGCTCATAAGGGGGCCTTACGGATAAATGGTAAAATGAGCTCAAAAAATTTTCTAGAGAAACATTTGCAATAAACTGTAGAAGACGGATTATCACAGCAAAATCTTGAAAACTTTATCTAGCAGTGGATCGAGAAAAGCCGATGACGATAACACTTCACTAACAGTTAAAGTGAAACATTTTACAACCTGCTTGATTTGAAAATTTCAGGAACACGTGAGAAGGAAGTACCTCTGGAGTCAAGGCCAACGTGAAACAGCTATGGAATAGCATGGGAAATTACAGGAGAATATCGTCACCTGATGTTAAGGGTGCATCTATATGGTTAACTAAAGAAACTCAATAAACATATACATTAAGAAGGTATCATTATCAATCATTCGGCATTGCAAAAATGTCAACCATGACAACGGATGGCGAATCCTACGAGGGAGGGAGGGGGGATAAGCCTCGTAGCGCCTGTCACCGCAGCTGTGACAGAAAGCTCGCCTTATAGCTGAACGCAAATCATCGAAAATCGATAGACATCATCACTAGCGAAAGATTTACATTATCTTACAGTGAAGAAAAACCATCACATAGAGGTCAAATAGTCGATATCATTCCTCCAGGTCATTAGATAGGCCGAGCGTTTTGTGTTGTCCCATCACAGTCATCGTGTGAACAGTGTCAAACAAGACCAATTTTACTTCATGCTTACATCGTTACACAAATATCATAACTTTATTCCATGACACCGAAGAACCCAGTGTTAAAACAAAACAACGGTATATATTTTCGCAAGTTTGGAATGTAGGCGAAGCAATGGCGGGCTATCGAATATAGTCGCTATATGATGACGCTAATCCGAATAAAGATATAAACCACACAAGAAAAAAACGACAGATTAGAACAGACGAATACCGAAAGGAACGGACAGCAAAAGATTCAAACAGATCTTATGCACAAAAATAAATAACAGAGTAAAATGACTAGAACCGAGAGCAAAACAAACAATAACCTGTTAAAGCCAAGAACATCTATTAGTAAAGCATGGAATGAACACAATGGAATGTCTGCGAAAGGTACAACGGATAAAATTTAAACAATGACTAGAGTATGGTGTCTTTAAAGAAAAAATTGCCTCCACATGAGGCACAGTGGATGGCGATACATCTGTGTACAACCGTCCATTCGTTGCTTCACCCTCAGCAGAAGATATCGTAGTCACCTCTTCCATCGCCATCAACAGTTACAGGACTGTGCAGACTTCGGTGACGTGCTGGAAGCATCGGTGAGACGAGTGCCTTTCGCACGGGACATCGACGGATCCGAGTCGAGTGATTCGGCCATCTTGTCACAGATTATGTCGACTAAACGCTCAAAGACTGCCTTGACGTTGACGTTTTCCTTTGCGGATGCTTCGAAAAATTCCAAGCCTAAATAAATCAGTGGCGTTCGTTATCTAAAAGACGCTTAAACGGAAGGCACGTAAAATTTTGGCAAGCAGACAACCACCTGACATACGTTTCCATACTAAACAATACATATAGAAATATGAAAAATATAAAATGATATTCGCAATATTTAGAATTCCATGATAATAGTATTAATCTGTACTAGGGACACTACTATAAATAAGGACATTATATAATTAAAATCAAGCTTGATTTTGCATTATCTATCCGCTTAGCTTTTCAGCGAAAATAAATTACATCTTTGCCTATTGTCGATTCATTTCCTAAAGATGTAACTCAAGTGTATTTTCAACCTTATCTCAAACCTGGACTCAGTAGGTGGGGTCTTCTAAGGAAACAAAATTTCGTAAATGCAAAAAAAATCAATGCAAAAAAAGATTAAGCCGAAATTCTAAGCACTTTGACTTACTCAAAATGTTATCGTTACTTAAACTTACCTAGTATTTCGATCCAATTCATGTGATTTACAGCTGTTGTCTAAGGGCTATCGTCAAACACAGAAACAAAACACACTGTTACATAAAAAAGAAACGTTTTTTTATCAGACAAAAATTACAGCTGTGGCGGTGACAACGGTAACTGTCACTGTCCAACCGACAGGTCGAAGACCCGTACGTCCACAAATAACTTGGGGCATATGCCTCGACAGACTGTACTTCGAACTTAGGTCACCTTCTGTTGAAGCTGACATGATCAGAAACAGGTAGGAGACGTTTTCTGAGGCGACTCAAACGATAAGAGGTAATCAAAACTGACTGACTGTTACATTAAAAACAAAACTTTAGGAATAACGTGGATAGTTCTAGTGACCGCAACTAGGCACAAAATTAATTATCATCTTCACATGCCATTATAAGTGCTTATCGTACATACAGCTAGTTTTATATGCAGTTTGCCTTACAGTGTACATGAACGTCACAATATAAATCGTCTGACGTTGACAGACGAAAGATCCGTTGCAAGTGATCATCGACATAATGAGCCGCTCTCGAATTAGCCTGCGTGAAACATTCGCATCAAACAGCTTACTCTCCATAAAACGGATGAACAATCTAAGGCCAGTAATATTTTTCAAATATTCTTCCTGACTGTCGTCAACGACAGGGGTACTTTTATGCAGACAGACGCATTGCAATTACAGGTACTGGTGGATGCAATTTCTTAGAATTGCTTACTCAGCCCAGGGATGAACTGACTGTTCGTTAGTGTACGGAAAGAGCAATCTACGCCTAAGTATTGACAGTCCACGCTTAATTAACAAGATCACTGAAAAACAAACAGTGGGTGTATGAACAGTGACGTCATCAACGATAATTACGTCGACGGTTTAACATAACGATGACGCATCAGCAATTTCCAAGTGAATGAAAAATCCGTCGAGAACAAAATGACACCTGCGTCATAAAAGGC